GCCCCCTCCCCGGCCTCGCACAGCCCAGCACAGGGGCAACAGGAGCACAGGGGCCCACCGGCCCCCAGCCAGGCCCGAGCCCCCGACGGCCGCCTCTGCTTAGGCCGCTGCATTAATCCACTGCACCGCGCCAACCGCCTCCCTGTTAACAACCCGGTCCGCCCATGAGGGGCTGAGGCCATCCAAACCCCAGCCCAGGTGCCAGCCCTCACAGCTCACAGAGCCCCGCAGCTCTCGGGCCGCTTTCTCCGGTTAGGCAAAAGAGTGACACAAGGTTAAAACCAGCCCTTTGAGACAGGATCATGTTTATTCACAACCGGCAGAAGTCAACTGGCTTATTGCTTGCAACCAACTTCATTTTTTCCAAAGAAATCAAGTCATGCCCCCTGCCCCGCAACCAGACACTGTTTCGGAGCCCCGCACCAAGAGTTACCTTGTACACGTCCTTTATCATCCTGACTTTTTGTCCTGAGAACGGCCCCGGCTCACCACCGCTTCCTCCCCTGAGACCTTATGCTACCAACGTGGCTTTTGCCATTAGTCTAGTTAATGGACAACCTATCAAATGCCAAAGGTTATCACCCGTTGCGTGTCATACATGTTATTTGTTTGAAAGTCTTGGGATCCACAGGGCTCACCGAGAAGACGGCCAGCTGCAGCTGACAGCCATGGAAGACGAAGCGTTTAGGGAGTGGTTCTGCTGCAGCGGGCTGTGAAGGAGCACTTGTTCTGCACAAGTTGGTCCTGACAAGCTCCGGCAGAAGGTGTGTGTACACCATCACAGTGCATCAGGCTGGTGGCTACATCTGGGGAAGGCAGCAGTCTTGCTCTAGACTTGTGCAAAGAGTGCCAGGAGAGAGGAGGGGACACACGAGCATTAAAAAAGTCGCCCTGTTCCCAGCACAGCATTCCCAGTACTGCCATGCCATCATGGAATCCCCACAGGCAGCAGGACAGCAGGTCTCAGCCCCGGCCAGCACTCACAAATCCCTTCCTCATCCAAGCGCACCCCCAACCCCCTCCCCCTCCAAAGCTTCTGCCACAGCCAGTACTACGGCGAATGCACGCAGCAGGCTGGGTGTGTCCGACAAGACTCCTAATTGCAGTTTGCAACTGAGAAAGCGAGGACGCTGCTTGCTGTTACAGAGATGAACAATTCCCGGCTGTATGTAGCAACCAGCTCTGCCAGCCACCCCTCTGGTTTGGCCAGTAACCCCCCATCCAGGCTAGAGGCCAAACTCCAGTGAGAGTTAGCCACACTGTCTAGAGTGCCTCTGCCTTCACCAGGACACCTCTGCATTACTCAGAGGCACCTGCGTCATCCTACATCACCACTTCAGTGTTCAAAGGATGCACCATGCAGGAGCTACAACCAGCCAAGAGAGTGGAGACAACTCCCAGCACAGCCCAGTTGGGTCCAGGGCAGCTACTCCCAGCCCTGCCAGTCACAGCACCATTTGCCGAAAGCCCCAGCACTGATAGAGCCACTTTCTCCATCATTAGGTCCATAACAATTGATCCGCAAGATTAACGTAACCAATACAAACTGTTGCAGCGGGGGACACAGGCTCTGTGCCAAAAGCTGCAGGGAAACAACCCCAGACTTGCAGGCACCACCTCCCCAGTCACACAGCTCCACAGTGGCCAAGCTGCTGCATGAAGAGAGGAGACAGCAAAGCTCGGTTAAAGCCAGCAGGCACTTCACCTTGAAGAAAGTCCCTTCCCAAACGGAAAGACCTTGCCAGGACATCCCCACTTAATGCAACCTGCGGAGTAGCCCAGCTGGGACCCCGCTGGGGAAGCCCCTGCTCAAAACACCCTGTCGAATTCAGTCTGGTTGGTGGCAGCCGGGTTCCTGCCCTGGTTTGTTGGCTGCTGGGGCATATGCCCACCCCTTCTGCGTGGTGGGGCCAGGTACTCGAACATGGACTGGTTGTGGGTGGACAGCATGTTTTTGAGGTCCGAGGGCATAGGGTCTGACCAAAAGAAGTCGTGGTTCAGCGCGTCATCGCTGTCGATGCGCTGGGCGGGATCTAGCACCAGCAGCTTATCGATGAGGTCAAGTGCGTAAGGATCTTTAACGTAAGCCTTCAGGCGATCCTTCACCTTGCGCTTCTGGCCCTTGGGGAGATCCAGCTTCTGGTACAGCTCATATTTATCCACGTTCGGCCAAACCTGGGAAGGGGCAGGAAAGGAGAGTTGGGAGGAAATAGTTACAGAGAAGACAAGCCATTTTTGATGCGAACACCCCCAGGCAAACCAGGGTGAGGTCTGCTGAGAAAACAATATATTTTTTATAACTTCCAAGCCGGCAGACCTTGTTCCCACAGCATGAGGGAGGCACTAAAGAGTGCACTAAAGCCTGGAGACACGTGGACAAGTCAGGACAGGGTTCTCCTGGTGTGGGAACAGCACGCAGGATGCTCCAGGATTTCTGGTTCTCCCACAAAAGAGAGCATGGCTCAGGCCAGCTACAGCATCCAGAAAGGTAAAATGACAAAACTTATTGCTAAATAACAAGCCTGTTGTATGTGGTACCTTTTATCCTTAGAAAGCAAAGCGTGCTGCGATAATCAGCACTTACCTCAACCCTGGTCTGGGAGAGACCACAGCAGGTTTTTAGTTACAAAAGAAAGTGCCTTCAATATATATGTAACAGGGGCATCAGGCCTCTGCGGCTGCCTGCCCAACTGCCTGCCTATCACACCCCACTAGATTACAGCCCCGGCCAAGAGATCCCTCAGCTGGATCCCCCACAAGAGGGCAGGACAAGCTGTCATTAAATAAGGAGCTGAGAAAGGGCCGAGTGCTCGCACCAGGGCAGAGCTGATACCACAAATCACAACCTAGAATTAAAGAAGCTTTTCAAGGTGACCAGTACAAAGCACCTGAGACAAACCTGTCAACACAAAGCAAAACACACTCTTGTTGAAGAAGAAATTCAGAGGATATTTATCTGAGAGACAACACCCAAACACGGATGAGAACAGATTCCTACACATAATGTTCTTTCACACTCCAAGCAGCCAGCATCCTCTCTGTGCTCAAAAACAAGGACACTAATTCCCCCTCCCGAAGGAGGTCTGGGAGGCCAACTTCACCCTCTTCTCCTCAGGAGGTTGAGCACAAGTAACATGACAGCTGTAGTTTACACAGAGCAGTAAGAAAAGTGCAGTGTCCCACTGCGCACTCAGGTCCCAGGAAGCAAATAGCATTTGCAGGAGCTTCCCCAGCCTCCCCACCAGCAGCAGGCACACTCCAGTGCCAGGAGCAGACAGCAGCTAGCACACAAGGCAGAGAAAAGGTCCAGGAGTGCCCAGTCCCAGACCCTGCTCAAACCACCCACTTTGTAGCGCTCCTCCCACCTTCCGCAGTTTGCCCACGCTCTTGCCCTCACCTCCGGTGTGATGGATCCGCAGAGCTGGCTGATGAGGGTGAGCTGGTGCTGCTCTGTGTTCCCCTGCATGATGGGGCTGCGGGTCCACATCTCTGCCATGATGCAGCCTCCGCCCCAGAGGTCAATGGGGGGACCGTAGTCCCGCTCCCCTAAACAGAGATGCGATGTTACTCACCTGGGGGAATGAGAGGGCAGAGAAGCTGGCAGAGCCCGTCACCTCCTACCTAGGAGCAGCTCTGGCGGCCGATACCACAGAGTCACCACCCGGTTGGTGTAGCGGTTTGGCTGGCTGTTCTTAGCCAAGCTGAAAGCTCGAGCCAGCCCAAAGTCCGCTAGCTTCAGGACTCCATCTCGTGTGATCAGGACATTTGCAGCTTTCATGTCTCGATGCAAGATCTATATGATGGCAGACATGGAAAGGTGAAGCCATTAAGGTATCCTCTTTGGGCACCTGGTGCCAGCAGGGCACTCAGACTCCAGAGGTGGAGGACAAGGAAGAATTTGCCTCCACCCTGTGCTAAGATACCTCCTTGCAAGGCCACAGAGCGCAGGGCGATCTCAGAGCATAGCATAGATCTGGCCCATTACCTTGTTCCTGTGGATGTAGTAAAGTCCATTCAATAGCATCTGCATAACTTTCTTGATCTCTGAGAGGGTGAACTTGACATGGGCATTGCTGAGAAGGCCAGCCAGGTCATGCTCACAGAAGTCAAACACAAGGTAGATACTGCCCTTGCAGCGGTTGTACGGAGAGGCTACGGGAGAGGCAAGGAGGGACTCTCAGTGAGGGACCTTTAACCCCAACACAGCTCCTCCTGACCTCCAGCCACACTGCTGCTTGTACAACGCTCACTAGACAAAACCTCAGGGCACAGGAACGCAGAGAACCAGAGACACCCTGCAGGCCTCAAGATCCTTCGTAAAGAGGCACTAAGACAGCACAACTAGCAACAGAAGAACAGGGGATGAGGATCAGAGTAGTGAATGTTGTCAGGCAAGGAAAGGGCATGAAAATCTTTGAAATCTTCATTTGGTGTTGTTCTGTGCACTTAACGGCTGTGGGTTTTCCTCCATGCAAGCTGTGGCTGGTAGGTGCACACACCGCTAGCTGCTGGCTGAGCACGATCACTGATTGCATCAGCGATAGAGGGGGCACCCGCAAAGACAGCCCCAGGAAAAATGCAGAAACAGAGAAAATCTGTCTAATGTAACATTAGAAAGTGAGGTTTTCTGCAAAATCACATAGTATCTACAAAAATAGACTGATCTGGATCAAAATTATTTAGGACTGCAATTGCAATTTAAAGTTAACAACAGGAAACCTCAAATTAAGCAATCGATTTCAATCTTGTTCCTAGAGCACACATGCAAATCAGTATTAAAAAGAAAGGCTGATTTATCAGCTGTAATCAGCAAAACCTGCTGATCAACAACCCCAACCGGAAAATGACAGCTAAGCTCGGCCCCCATGGAAACACACCGCTCTCCTCTGCCAGCCAGGAGGGTGCCTGCTAGACAAGACTTGCAGTTCCTTACGCAGATATGGCCTCTACCGTTACCTTTCCAACATAAAAAGAGAAAAGCTTAAAGTTTGAGAACAGCAAATGCAACATTTCTACTTTACTGGAAACTGAGGTCAAGGCAGATTTGGATGAAAACTGGAAATCAAACAAAAACCACAATTGACAAGTCCACAAAAATATTTACCTTAGGTATGCCAGACACGCAATCATCACAACTTGTTTAATCACACAATGAATTAAAAATTAACTTGTCGTTGGTGTTTCTCTTCATACCTGTTCAGATAATAATCTACATGCAGTGGACTACTGCAGTAACCTCAAGTTCCCGACCTTAGGCCAGAGATTTCTACCAGTTCAGTGACTGGATTTTTAAAAAAAAAATCATCACCAGATACCTGCCACTTGCATTTTGATTTAACTGAAATGACTGACTAAAGAATGGCAGGCTTTAATATCAGCTGTAATTTTCAAAACTATTTTTCCAGTACAGATCTATATAAGAGAATGGTATATAAAAACTAGCAAATGTTTTAAAGCAGTTTCACTGGAAACTGTGCCAGGCCAGGTACACTGAGCATGCCAGTCACGCAGCAGAGGCACGTGTGCTGCCTCCCCCAGGGCCAGCCTGCAGTGAGGAGGTGGAAGAGCCGCTCTGAACCACCCCAAGCAGAGCCACAGCCCTCGCAGCACGAGTGGTTACTGTCACGCACAGGAAGAGACGCTGAGTGAGTCTCCAGCTGGAGCTGTGTCATCAGCTCAGAGCTGCCACAAACCCTCATAAGCCAACTGAGAGGGACGGCTCCAGCTCCTGACAGGGAACTGGCTGTGCACAGCTACAAGATCAGCGTCGAGCTGAGAACTCTCTGCTTCAAAGTCTCTCTGGCACTGGTTTATTTAAAGCCTCCCAGACAGGAGTTTCCCCACATAGGCAGCATTCGCCACCACAGCACAGGCATATCCTATCAGGACTGACAACAGCTTTTTCCAGCCGAGCTGCAGCAACATTCTAACTCATTTAGAAACTGTTTTCCAAGATGAGTGTCCTGTCACCCCACATCACAGGCAGGAAAAGAGGCCCATACTCAGCTAGAGGACCCCACTCCCACCACAAACCACCAGCCTGCTCAGTAGCAAAGGAAGGCTGAAAAAAAGCCAACAGCCAGCACAAGGGAGACCCCCGCAAGCTACCTTTAGTCCTGCAGATTTCTATGAGGTTCACCACGTTCTCATGTTTGAGCAGCTGAAGGATTTTAATCTCTCGCAAGGCTGTGATGGGGAACTGGAAAGGAGAAAGAGAGGACAGGGATTAGGGGTGCAGGAGACCAGGCCACCCCTGCCTGGGGTGATGTGAGGAGAGATGGAGACCAGGGCAGCTTGGCAGGGGAACTGCTTCAACAGCACTGTGACAAGTCACTGAAAGGTAATCAGAGCTTTAAAATATACCACCACCACCAGAATTGCCAAAATTTATTCACCATCAGGCCACCATTAGCAAGAGGGATTCTGCCATGAGACAGAGGTATTTGCGTGGTGCCGAGACGAGCACGCAGACACCCCTCCCTCCTCTCCTCACCTTGCACATTCGTAACAGACATGGTACAGCCCAGCTCAAGCTGTAGAGCAGCATCCCCAGCTGCTGCCTGTGCTGTTATACTGTTCCTCTCTCCCCAGTTTGTCCCATCTCTGCACACCCCCGAGCCTTTCACATGCTACCCAGTTCCTCCATAAACAGTCAGTGCGCCAGGGGTGACAGGGTTTGCACAGGAGGAGGAACGCGTGGGCAGTGTCACCTCCCGGGCGTGGGCAGCGTCACCTCCCAGCAGCCATCCCATGCAGCCCCGTCACCACACAGCTGCTGCACCACACTGCTGCCATGTGCCTTTGCAGCCAAGAAGGTGCTAACAGGCCATACACTTTGGCAGGGCAACCACAAGACCCAACATTATCACAGTACCAGCAGGAGAAGAAAAAGGCCACAGGGCTGGGATCCTGTCCACACCGTTACAGATTCAAGATCTGGCATGTTGTAGCAGCAAATATTGTTAAAGAACAGAGTGAAAACACATCTTTGCTGTCCTAGATCAGTTTTCATCTCTGAACCCACAAAGTCCAGGCTTTCCCAAACACAGCCCAGCCATGCTCCTGCACTTACCCCTTCCTTCTCATTTTCCATCAACACTTTCTTCAGTGCTACTTTCTTGCCCGTCTGACGATGTTTGGCTTTGAAAACTTCCCTGTAAAAACAGAAAGAAATCCATGAGAAGCACAAGGAAGAAGGGAAGGAGCCAGGTGCTACCAACCACGGACAAGACCAAACAAGACAGGCTAGAGTGCCATACAGACAGCTCTGTT